GGCGTTGGCTGCTGTAAATGCCCTTTCCAGACTGCTCTGTGAAACACCACAGGGTGTTTTTTTTTTACTTTCCTTAGGTACTGGCAACTGTTTAAAGCTGATGGAAGCTACTGCTGTGTATGTCATTCTGGCTGGCTGGTGCTGAGCCCAGAGTGGCTTGCAGCAGGATGTCACCCTGTCCCTTGCTTCCAGAATTTGCAGTGCCAGTCAGGTGGTTCAGGGCTGCACTGCTCTGTTGTATCTTGTCCTGCTTGGAAATGAGACCATAGAATAGCATTCATCATAACTATCTCTCTTTGTCCTCAGGATGAAACTCCCACCTTTCCATTTTCTGTTTAAGCCATATGAAATGGAATTAATTAATTACGGCCCTTGAACCTGTGCAGGGCCAAATACTTCCCTGCTGCTGGATCCAATAGGAACTGACATCAAGCACTGAGCATGACTCGATTTGGTGAAAATTTACCTTTAATCCTTCTAGAACTCATAGGCTTTTTGGGGAAATGATGAGAAAAACATTTTTCAAGTACTTAATTTAAATTAAAATTTCGGGTAGCAAGCCACTTGATCTGTGTGTAGGAATGCAGAATTTTTTTTATGTGTTTCCCTGAAGCGGAGCCAGATTCTTGGCACTCTTTTCTGAGAAAAAAAAAAAAGGGGAGAGAATGTGCATGTGTAAGACAACTGGCTGCTGTTGTCAAAACGCACATGGCACTGGGAATATAAAACACAGGCTTTAGGGCTGCCTCAGTCCTGCCCTCAGCTGCTGCTGGGGTTTGTCGTGTGGCCAGCCCCTGAATTTATCTTCTCATATGGCCAAACAACTTCATCCCCGTGGCAATTTGCTTGAATAAAGAGCCTGGTGAGTGCAGTGGAGCCGGGGGATACAGTATGAAAATCAACGGCCGCTCCAGTGAGCAATTGCGCAGTGGAACAGCCCTGGGCTGGAGGAGGGGGCTGTGCTGTCAGTGCCAGATTGCAGCCTTCGTCCTTGGAATTCCCGTGTCATAGCCAGCTTTCCTAATGCAGAGCACCTGGGATCGCAAATGTATGAGGTGTTTAAAGTTAATATCAGTTTTTACTGGGTAGTTTTTGCACTGCTGCTGATTCAAAGCACTGACCTATAGAGCTCTGTGCATTAAAATTAGAGTAGGAGGTGGTTGTGGATCCCCTTGACCCTGTGTGCTGATTTGTGCGGAATCTTTGGCCAAGGCTGTATGTAAATCACTGATGCACAGAATATATTTAGCTTTTGATTGTTCAAAGCTATATATTCACATGGAGCATTTTATAGCAGAGATATGGCTGAAGGCACCTGGGAGAGCAGGTGGGTTTTGGGCTGCTTCTGAAGACCCACTCAGTCTGCTTGTGGGTTTTGTGTGGCTTCGGCATAGGAGTAATATTGCTTGTCTTCAAAAGTTTGTACAAGTCTGAAAATGAGTCGGTGGCAATTGATAATGCTCTTGCCCTGAAAAAGTGGGAATTAAGGAGCTCTGACATGCCTGTGAGGCCCTGGCGGAGCGGTCACCCCATCCTTCACAGCTGTTTTCCACGCTGCCAGGCTTCTTCTCCTGGTGACCTCCCTTGGCAGGTACATCTGGGAGTTGAGAAATTCTCTCATTAAAAAGATGTGTGTGTCATGCCGCTGATGGGACTAGAGCACAGTGAGCTGCCTCCCATGGGGCTGGTGCTTTGGGGTTTGAGCTTCTTTAAATTAAGGTCATTTCTTTCTTCAGTGTTGTCAATTTGACAGTAACTCATGGCTCCTTCATATACACAGACATATAGGAAGGCACAGTGATATTTTGTAGCTGGAGACACTGCTTGACTTCTTTGCAGGTTGCTGTGGTTTGGTATTTGAACTGTCTGATGTCTCTAATTCCTCTTTATCTGTGGTGCTTTACAAACTCCAAAGATGTGTGTTATAAAGATAATGCATGCAGTGCTGTCCAGACTGAACCATGTCAAAATCTCTGCCCTTGCCCTGCTTCTGCTTGCCTAGGCTGGCGATGGGGCACATCAAGGCAAAGGCAGAATCAGTTTGTTGTTTGTCTTAATCCTGCAGCCACAGATACCTGCAGGATACACTCTTGGCCTGTGGTTTTTTCACCGTTGATGTTTTTGCTTGTGTGAATTCTTGATATTGAGATAGGTTTTATCTGATCAGTCCTGTGCAGCACCTAATGTTGTCATGTGCTCCTGCCAAGGACTGTAATGATGTAGAAACAGAAGTTATTGGGGATGCATCCTGCTGTGAGTGAGATTTGCATAAAATGATTCTTATCTGGGGGCTGAGTGTGAGGCTGCCGCATTTCTGGGTCTCCACATATGATTGGAGATACTCTGTACAAACTGGAAATGCAGTGCATTCTTTAAACAGTTTGGTTGAGGGGTGTTAATTTTAAACTAACATGGAATCCTTAGCCCCAGACCAAAATGAAGGACGTGTGGGGCTGTGCACATTGCAGCTACATAGAGCATATCAGCTTTTGAGGGTGAGGAAGCCACTCGAGTAGATTTGAACTCGCTTTGCTTGTTGGCCGCAGCAGTGTGCCAGTCTGTGGTGAAGTGGGACAGCATGCCAAGGGCTGGATTTGACCCTGGAAATAACCATTTTTGTACTGAGCACACGGTGTTTTTGGGGAAGGCGAGGAGCAGGTACACACTGGTCACTTGGTGCAGATTCATGTAGGAAAAGAGTTGTTGGACAACTTTGTACTGTATATGTTAACAGCAGTCCTCTTCTCCAAGCTGCTCTCACCATCCAAATCATTAGTGACCCTGAAGAGTAAATCTCTTAGTGCTCACGTTTGTGGTCTGGGTGTATATACTTAAATATGTTGATTTTTCAGTTCTCCACTTAAGCTTTTTATTTCACCATGTCTGTACTGCCTTTGTGCCTCTGAGGAGTGTTTGAAGATCCAGTGAGCCTTGCAAGGTGTCCTGCTGGCCAGGGAAATAATGAGTTGGCTCTTAAACACATTCTGTTTGTGGTATCTGATAATTAGCTGTGGGAGCTCTCAGTGCTTAAAAAAGGCCGGAGGAATTGGCAGTTGGGCAGAACTTTCCCTCTGCCATCCTGTCTGTATGCTGCATTTCCATTGTTTCTTACAGCTTTAGAGAGCCTCTCTAGAGGGCTCTATATTGAGTAATTCATCTTACTCAACACTTCACTGTGAAGTACATGCAGTTAATGGACAACATATAGAAATAATGATGTGATTAATAGAAATCCAGTTCCTGAGAGCTTGGACTACTTTCCTTTATAAGTTTTATGCTTGGTTGTGATTGTTCTTCTCAAGTTCACTAGTGGTACATATTTATCTGCTACTGGGTCTCTGAAGGCAAAATTCAAACTCAGTTTGTGAGATAATGAAAATGTATACATAGCTTTTCTGATCCTTCTATGCAGTTAAACAGCTATAAATGTGAGGATCTTAATTGTATGTTTGGTACTGCTAATAGAGTAATACTAGTAGGGTAAGTTTATAAAGAAAAGATTTAAAAAGCCTCAAATCCACAAACAAAACAGAATACCCCAACAAAAACCCACAACCCCTCCTGTTCTTACCTCTTTGTTTAAAGATTGTACATAGCTGTGCTGTGGAGTTGGTGGTGGCTTGGAAGCTGCTGGGGGAGTGGTGGGGCCTAAGCCAATGTGGTGTTCCCCTTGGGCAGCAATTTTTGTGCAGATTGTTTTGTTGTGAGGATCAGTGTTGGTTAGCCTGTGTGTGCTGACTTCTTTGCTTAGTGAGCTGGTCTGAAGAGCAAGTCAGAGCTGTTTGCTCACCTACCACATGTTTAAATGCATTGATTTTGGGAATGTGAGGAGTTTTAAAGTGTAGTTGGGAGATAGGATTCAAATTGGAAATATTTCCAGTTTAAAAATGGGTGTGCAGAAAGAGGTTCAGTGTGTGTTGATAGATGTGTTTTATCTCCCTCTGGTAAGCTCAGCCATGAGGTTGGGTGATGCTAAGCTGGAGGCCTTGGGGGCTCTGGGGCTTAGGCAGGGAGATGAGAGTGGGTTTGCTTCCAGGAGAGGAGTGTAAATGCAGTCCAAGTACTTAGGCCAAGTTTTCTAATCCTGGCTTAGGCTCAGTCACACCAGAAACCTTAAATGGGATTTGTGATTTTCATGACAGACAGCAGAGTACTCAAAATGCACTTCTAACCCCAGAGGAAGCAATCCCAGTGCTGCCCTGGGGTCATGCCTGGAGTCCCTGTGAGCCAGGGGAGCGAGGAGGTGGCAGTGCAGCTGCTGGGGGTCAGGACCAGCTCTTTCATCTTCACAAGCACCCAGCATTCTGCTTCTCCCTGAAGCAACAGCATCAGGAATAGGACATGGCTGAAGGCTACGTCTCCACTCTTTTTATCTAGGCGTCCGAAGTAGGTCTGGAATTCCTCCTGCCTATACGCAGCACAGCGTTCTCCTTTAGTTTAGCTCATCTCTATGGAGGTACCGCCATCGTAGTTTTTTTTGTCTAACATGTGTCTGGTATTTTCCCCTAACTGTGGTGTTGGATATAGAGCTCTCATTTCCATAACATCCCATGTGTGCTGTAAGAACTGGGCTTCTCTTGAGGAAATGCTGGTTCACACAAGAGACTGATTCGGGTCACAATACACAACATCGTGTGCAACTATCCCCTGATTGGCCTTCTTACTGTTCTCACCACTATATAAAACAGGGTGAGACGTAAGGTCTTCTAACAGACCCAGCGTGGGAGTTAGTGTTTGTAATGCTTTTTTTCACATCAGCCTTATTCTATATATGTGTATATATATATAAAAACAAGGCAAGTACCTGCCTAAACTTCCTTAAGTAATTACTACGTGTGTGCATATAAACGTCACTTATATTGCAGTAGTTCATTAGTTTGAAAAAGAGCTGTTTTCCACAAGTGAAGCCTTTTTCTGTTTGTGGGGTTTTTATTTATTTATTTATTTATTTTTTAAATTTTGTACCTTTGCTGTCTGTAATTAGTTGCTTTGTGTGACAGGTGGGAGATTCAAGAAGGAGATAGTGGTGGATGGACAGAGCTACCTGCTGCTGATCAGAGATGAAGGAGGTCCTCCAGAGGCACAGGTAAGCACCTCTGAGAGCTGTGGCAGCCTCACTCACTTTCCTGTTCTTAAAGCCCTTCCTTGGAAAGAACTGGATTTACTTTGTGGTCTCCTGGGTCTTTCTCAGCTTTCTGCTGGGAAGATTGCTATATTACCCTCAGGTGAAAAAGGTTTTGTTCAGAACATATTTGGGGTTTTGATTAAAGTGCAGAAAAGAGTCTGGTCAGAAAATATTTAGGATTGCAATAACAAGGAGAATCTATGAAATCGGTGTGTGTATTAATTCAAGGCCAAATCAATATGCTTCCCCTAGTGAAAAAAATTACGTTACAGTCGTAAGTTGTCTTCTGAGTTGGAATCTTTAAATGGTTAAAATGAAAAGTAGTTGCACACACAGTGACGCACATACTTGTATCCAAATCTTTGCACTCCCTGGTGCTTCCACATTTTGCTGTTTAAGACTCAACTTTGTGAGTTCCAGTTCAGCATCACCGAGTTCCTGGGTGGAATTCTGTGTACACTGTGTTACCCCTGCTCTTGTAGAAGGGGTTTTATAGAACCACAGAATGGTTTGCATTGGAACTTGTTCCACCCCCTGCCATGGGCAGGGTCATGTTCCACCAGCCCAGGGTGCTCCAAGCCCCATCCAGCCTGGCCTGGAACACTCCCAGGGA